ATTTGAGGCTGTATATTCATAATCATTATTGGATATTGTATAACTGATAGAGATGATTTGTCCAGCAGAATTGGGCTGCAAACAAAATTTGGACTTGATGCTTTCTTCCAGTGACCAAAACGCAAGGATAAAGCACTTGTTATAAACATCATTCGTATTGAATTCAGAAAACCACCAAATCCGAACACATAATAGTCAGAGATTTCAATAAACATGCGTACTATTATACGAAAATGAAAGGAATTTCGAGTACTTTGGTAGCTAAAAGAAGATGATGTAGTTCATAGACTGCAGAAATAGAACTAAAACAAGGCAGGAGAGAGCTAACCCGAGCTGAGAGTGGACTATCTTTCTGCTGCAATGGCGTTTTTATCTGCATCGTATACCAATTCAATATGCGAATTTTAGCTCGATCAGTAGCTAGTTAGTTAAAAACTTACAATGAGCATCTCTCTAGTGTCATTATTTGATATCATTGTTGAATGAATGTGAGGTGAGAGAGGACTAACACGATAGCTCATGAAGAATTCATCAAGCAATTCGAATTACAAGACATGTCAGTCAGGAAAGGTAATCTTTGTTTCTAATGATACAAAAAAATCTAACTCCAAGAATAAAAACTTCGATGATGGTCTTGGACAATGTACAACCTTATTGTAAAGGCTAACTGGCTAAGTCACAAGGATACATTAAAAAAAAAAAAAAAAGGAACTTGTGGCGGTCGAATCTCACAATTAGAATCTAAGTGATTCTTTAGGGTTTGTAAAGTTCTGTCGAAAGCAAGCAACTGAAAGATCTCAAGAGAGTTTTTATTAGCTGTGAAGAAAGCTGTTACAAGAGTTTTTGCTTATGAATTCCGATCYCYTTTTTGGRTGATAATGAGTGACTATATATAGTACTTCTAAGTTAATGGGCCAGCTAATAAAATGGACCTGGCCCATTAAGCAATATATCTAATTTAGGCTCATTATTCAATTAAGTCCATTTTGCTTATGAATTTAATATCATTTTGGGCCTAAATTCAGACTGGGCCTTTGTAGACTCGCTTTGATTTTGTCAAGACGTTGTGGAGTTGATCTCATCGCCATATCGATCTCATAGGGGTGAAATCTGACCTCCACAGAACTATAATGTGAAAGATGTCAGGGTTTTAACATAAAATTCCATAACCAAAATGTTTGCATAATTACAATGCTATCTTGTTCGATGATGGTCAGAGAACCGGAGCTTCAATCCAAAGAAGAAACCCATAGGGCTTGAAGATAATAGCGACCAAGATCCGACGGATCCCGTGTCCAGGCCCGATCGATGCAGATGCCGGGGAACTCTCTGTTCGGATTAGCGGCTTCCAAAGAAGAGGAGAATCAGATCATCAACCAAACGGCTGCGTTTTGACTCACATTCTCTCTCTCTCATGTGAATGATTCATTTACC